ATTTCATTTGACCAGTAAATTACCGAAATGGAAACACGATAATCAAATGCTAGTTACGCGTAATTGCACTATCGATATATGGCATACATGTCTTTTAGTAATAATAATAACCACTGAACAGTAACTGTCAAAATGTTCACTTTCGGTCAAACGTCACTGGTAACTATAGTTACCAGTAAATTACAGTACCCGATTGGTGAACTGTTTTACAAATAACTTTGGTGTTACCACCTGTATTAAGACCAAATGTTTACTAGTATTTCACTGTTAAATACTCGATATCTTAGTATAAAGTAACAAATATTCACGATGCCTCCCTATAACAGAAAAAAATGTGAAAAAAAAAAACTTGGCGGAATTGTTGACGTTTAGTGTTTGATGAAGACCTTAAGGATTCGCTCTGGACCTTTTGGAGGGAAAAGTGTCGTTTTTATTTTGACTTTTAATTATTTTGTGAAATCTAGTTTAAAGTGGAATAGGATAGTGCTATTGTGCCTTAATCGAAGATTAAAACGCGAAATTGTACGAATCTCGAACTAGAATATCCGTATCGGCCCGTTTTAAGGAATCCCGAGTCAATCCAAACACGCCGCCTCAAATTGCCTATCCTCTTTGTGGCGGCCATATTTACAGAAACATAATTAAACTTCATGTTTAGGCTGATGGCTTAGCCAAAGCCTTAATAAATAAAAAAAAAATGAAGACCTTAATTGTGATAGATGACATTATTAATTAATTTCTGTAATTATTACCTATCAAAATAATCGTGAGGGTGTGCTTTTTCAGATGGTGTTAAAACTTTAACATTGGACGTCTTATTGGAATCACAATCTTATTGGAAAAAAGGTTATCAAAGTGGAGGTCATCGCACCTTGAGATTGTTTTTTTGAAAAAAACTTATTCATTATTAAAATACTTTGTGGAGTAAAATATCACATAAACACATAACTTTATTCAATAGAGGTTGTATTAAAACATTTTTTACGTCGTTACATTGTGAGTTGTGATAGGATTCGTCAATTTTCTTCCTCGCGAGTTATAGTTTTTTTTACGCCATTTTCGCGATTTTCGTCGCTACCCGCGATTGTTATTAATTAATTTTAAAAATAGTTGTACATTGTATTCGTATGATTCTAGTGTTAATCGATAGGTATTTAAATGCTTGTCATCTTTATATATGTTTTGTTTCTTAATACAGTGAATGTACAAGGTAGTTAGAGGTTAAAGCGTAAAAAACTATGAAAATTTCTCAGAAGTGTTCAGTGTACTCAGAAATTAACAAATAAAGTTGTCGTATTACAATCATAACTGTAGTCTAAACAAAAGCTACTTAAGTGCTCTTATCGCCTATGTTATTATTTTTACGGTAGCTTAATAGGTTCTTGAGTTTTCAAGTGTTTATATTATACGAGTCTTATTGCCGCCCATAATGTAAACAATAAAAAAGGTACCAACGGATTAGAAAAGTGAGAGGTATCAAATGTCACGCGCGCCGACGATCAAGTAGATATCGACTGCATGAAATTTCTAACGACTTCTATGTCCATGAGTACATTTGGTCAGTTTCCCAAAAATTACTTTTCGAAATTAGTCACTTTATTATAAGATGATCTACATGTCCCTAATTTAGAATTCACGATTTATCTTAAATCATAAACGACGCTCAACTCGAGCGTCATAGAAGTCACGAAGCACCTCTCTATGTTACTTCATAAGTAAATTAAGAAAAATTCAATAAGAGCTAAATTATGAGAACCAAGCCGACTTAAGCTGCTATGTCATTCAAGGCTCATACAGTCACCGAAGATCTTCGGCGTAACGTGGCACAAAGCAGTTGTTTACTTCTTGGGTAACCGTATCACTTTGATGTTGCTTCCTTCGTACAAGCAGTCTGTCCGGGACGGGAACACGCTCTTCAGGTTGCCTTCTAAGTCTACCACTTTCACCTGCAATCAATAACAATAAAATAAATAAAAAATAGCCTTTATCCACTGATTACTTACTACTGCTTAATTCTAACAGTAATAATTCTTAATTTTAACATCAGCATCGGATCTCGTTCTAATCATGTTGCCCTCTGACATAGGCCTCCTCCATATTTCTCCATAAGCAACGGTCTTGTGCCGACCGGCGCCATTCTCGGGGCAGATCGTCTTCCCACATTCTTGTTGACCTTCCTCTATGCCTCTTTACATCTCTTGGATACTAATGTGTCACATCTTTTGACCACTTTCTTTTGTTGATCTTGCCGCGTGTCCACACCAGCGCCAATGCAGTCTTTTGATTTTCGTTGTGACATCTGTCACCTTGGTTGCCTTCCTAATTCTGGAGAGTCTCCATTTGTCTCTCAACTTGATGTGTAACATGCTTCTCTCCATCCCTTGTTGGCACACCTTTAGTCTTTGGCTGAGAGACTTTGTCAAGCCCCATGTTTGGCACCCATATGTGAGCAGTGACATTGGGATAACTTCATTCTTAAGTATCTCTTTGAGCGACCAATAGCGTGCCCAACTGTTGCTTACTGTTCTTTGAATTTCCTTCTCCATTTGTAAACTTGGGGATATTATTTGTCCTAGATAGACAAATTCATCGACATGCCCATGGCAGTCGTAGTACCACTTAGATAATAAATCGCAAAGATCTGACGGGCACTGCCACTGCGCCTGTCACCCTGAGACATAAGTTGACAAGTCCCAAATGCCTGTAATTTCACCAGCACAGAAATAGGTAAGGTGGCAGTATTTCCCTGGACGAATTCTTTCACAATGACCTCTACTGCTACTGAGGTGACCATCGTCACTCGTGAACATTTGCTACATCCATTGAGTATATAACTAGAAATAGAGACAAAATGTCATTGACTTACAAATAAATGGACGACGGGTCTAATACAAAAACCACGAAAAAAATGTCCCAAGTCAACCTATTCGAAATTTAAATTGTAATGTCATCGCAGTATCGCGCTGTCAGTAGAACAAATGAAGACTAAAGCGGAGTTTGGCGCTCTGTATACGATTTTAGCGCCTTACAAGTGCGGACACTTTTTAGCGCGGACCCGACGTCCATGTAATTGTAAGTCAATGCAAAATGTCATTTAATTTGTTTGAAAACTATTCTGCCATATCATTACTGTGATATCTGCGCTCCGATTGGCTGGCCCGAGTTCGAAACAATTGACGGGCGTCGTCAATTGTTTCTCTTTAAATCGACCAGTTAACTTAAGCTTTGCTTTAATGGACCAAAATTGCAAAATTATATATTTAATATTTAATCACCAATGAAATTTGATTCCGTTTGTTTTGTAATTAGGTGTTTTGCTGTTTTTCCCCTCACCACCGAATGGAACAGCACGCCATTGTTAGAGATATAATCTTTATTACAATAAGTACAGAATATTTTTGGAATACACGGAGACATACACACTGGTCAGTTGGTGGTGCTTCTACATTTCAATGCAAACGAGAGTTGATATTCATAAGTGATGTATGACTGATGAGTTACCAGCTTTATTTCATAGGTAAGCATTATTACACTAGAAATCGTCGCAATGGTTAAACTCTACCGCTCATTCGTAAGGCATATTCCCCCGAAAAGAATGAGCAAGAAACTCTAGGGGTTGCTCTTTGTAAATGACATTTGTACACATGAATGTGTACAAATGTTCATTTATAATATATTTTTTTGTTGTATTCAAACACGAGACAAAGTCAAAGACAAAAACATCGAGAGAAAGTTTTTGTTTCACTATAGTTTTAAACCTCATGAATGGCAAATTGATATACAATATTAACCGGAATCTTGTTATAGAAGTGTATATATACATTGCTATATAAATGAATTTGTGATTTTGTGAAGACGACTACCAAGAACACCTAGTTTATTTTTGTTCCTCGTGTTAATGTTGTCTGTCACTATTTTTGCATAAGGAAATTACTATTCCTCTTAACATAAATTACATTTTCATTAATGTACTGTGACGCTATTGTAAGAAGGTTAGTTTCCTTAAACTTATCTCTCAAAGATGCTCTGGGGCCCAAATTGTCAATTGCCCAAACCACATGTTTTCGCGGGACAAAGATTCTATTGATATCGGCGGCATTACCCCAAAGTAAAATGTCGACGAGAAACTTTTTGTACTTTGATTGTAGCACCTTTATTCATTGAGTTGTATTGCAAAAAAGGCACATTTTTAGTTGATTATTATTGTTAATAATGTACCTGTTGAATGGTGAGCGAGTGGAACCCGTCGGGCTGGTCGGACAGTCCGAGCAGCAGGCACTCTTGTAGCATCTTGTTCATGATGGTCCGGCAGGCGCCCAGAGACGCTTGTGACGTCACTTCCACTAACATCGACTGGCTTTGGTGCGACATCTGGCGAGAAATAAATTAATCGCTTGCAACATAAAATTTTAATGTACAGTAAGTCTTTTGCAAACATGAATATACCTTGGTATCTTCTGCATTGGTGATAGGCGGGAAGCTAATAACTCTACCAGTTGCGTCTTCAAGACATGGGTACTTAGGTTTGCCTTCCAACAGGTACAGGTATCTGAAAGAAATTAATAATATGAATTATTTTTGTTATTAAGGCTCAATTCACATTGCGGCGGAAAGCAATAGAAGCGAATTTTTGTAACGATATTATACATAGCATAATGAAAAAAGGTCAATTGTGTAACTCTGTCTGTCAAGTTTGTAGTAAGTGTAATGTATGCCTTGACGATGTTCCATATTGGGAAGCTACAGGCTACAATCAGAGGACATAAAAACTGTCGCAGCCAGGAAAGTCCTTCTGTTCTTTAATGCTGTTGGCCTTGGCTCTGAACTGTAGTTAGTGGTTGTCACATTGGTGTAGTGCTGAGGAGCCGCAAAGGCCCTGAATGAGGTCTAATAATAATTATGTACTTTATATTATTAATTAACATGTTGAGACAAATACACAATTTATTATTATTAAGACATTCCAAGACAAAATCAACCTGTACAGAGTTATTTGTATAATATTGTGAGATTAAGAGACTTTGTCAAGCCCCATGTTTGGCACCCATATGTGAGCAGTGACATTGGGATTACTTCATTCTTAAGTATCTCTTTGAGCGACCAATAGCGTGCCCAACTGTTGCTTACTGTTCTTTGAATTTCCTTCTCCATTTGTAAACTTGGGGATATTATTTGTCCTAGATAGACAAATTCATCGACATGCCCATGGCAGTTGTAGTACCACTTAGATAATAAATCGCAAAGATCTGACGGGCACTGCCACTGCGCCTGTCACCCTGAGACATAAGTTGACAAGTCCCAAATGCCTGTAATTTCACCAGCACAGAAATATGTAAGCTGGCAGTATTTCCCTCAACGAACTCTTTCACAAGGACCTCTACTGCTACTGAGGTGACCATCGTCTCTCGTGAACATTTGCTACATCCATCAAGTATATAACCAGAAATAGAGACGAAATGTCATTTAATTTGTTTGAAAACTATTCTGCCATATTATTACTGTGATAACTGTGCGCCGATTGGCTGGCCCGAGTTCGAAACAATTGACGGGTGTCGTCAATGGGTGTGAGAAACAGAGTTATTTGTATAATATTGTGGGTATGGAACAAAAGTTACTGTTCATGATGCTAGTAATATATTTCTGCGAGGTTATTAGTATTCTGCCGTCCACTATCTGAAATGTGGCTAAGTGACAAAATAGTTATTTGAGATATCTATAAAAAACCTTAACCCAGTTTTAGAATACTGAAATTGTTTAGTGATATTACAGCTATGCATCGTTAGGGTAAGTTCCAATAACTCGAACACGTTAACTAATTTTAACTGTTTTTAAAAGATAATTTTATGCTCTATTTTTTGCTATTTAAAACGGTTAGTCGACCATTTATCACATAGCCGCGTTTTAGTTAGTGGACGGCAGTATATCACAAATAACCCTGTTGGTCTACATCACAATTGAATGATTGCGAAGAGGTTATTTCATACTTGTATATTCCAGAGTAAACATTCCGCTTCTTCTCCTTCCGGAGGGCCTCGGCCTCAGCAGTAAGCTGCTGGAAAAGCTGTTCCCCAGTACAGGGCTTCAGCCGCAACAAAGGTGTCAACTTCAGCTCAGATGGTGCCTTAGCCGTGTATGTGAGGTCTCCTGAAAATCAGTAAATTTCACGAAATGTGATAAACGTTAGAAGAGTTATTCAACCTTATCCCTTCCTCTCCTTTCCATCAGCGGACCACCCGTGCCGGACTGCGTTGCCACAGTTGGACGGTCAGTTCAATACCGTACCGCACTAAAAAGTTTGGCAATTCGTTTTTATACCGAACCATCAAATTGTGGAACCAACTCCCGGCGCATGTATTCCCTCCCCTCTATAACATCGGGTCCTTCAAACGTAGTGTGAAGAAGCATTTGGCCAGACCGGCAAAATGATAGTGACGGAGTGAAGATATTTGTGTTTTCCATCCGTTACTCTCATCTCTGGACTGTATTCGCACTTTCCTTCAGGCGCGGTGCAGTCATTTTGCCGAGTCACAATAAAAAAAAAAAAACCTTAAAAAACTTGAAGCTTGAAGCAACATATCACTGATGTAATTACAGTGTCACAACTATGTTTTTTCATATAATTATTAATACAAAGATCGAACACTCAGAAAAAATTCCTTTGATCCGGCCGGATTCGAAGGAATTTTTTTTGACTGTTCGATCTTTTTATTAATAATTATGTCTTTTCTATTCATATAAAATTACCTGCTTAAACAAAACGTCACATATACTTATACTACATACCTGGAGGAATCTTGTTCAAATCGTGTGTAGCAATTGTCCCTACATTTCTCTTATCGCAGACGGTGTCGTGCAACTTTGTCTGCAGCTGGATAAACTTCTTGAAAGAAGCTTCAGTGAACTTCATATCGTTGATTATGCAGCACAATATGTACGGACGGACAGATCCAACTTGGCTTTCGTCAATTTTCACTTTCAGAATATCGTCTTCTACATGTAAAATCTTCATAGAATGGCACATATCACAAATTTTATCATCTGCTTCAAGTTCCTCTTGTTTCTTCCCTTTCTTGCCTTTACCTTTGGTGGCAGTGGACTGTGTCTGGTCAGATTTGGGGCAGTGTTCCCTGATGTAATCTAATATCTGTTTAGTGCGGCACTGGTCTACTAGCTTCATGAGCCTTTTATCTGCCAGTTTGTTACCTTTTAGGTTAAACTCTGCAATATCAAAGTAGAATAAGTATTCTATTATTTTTAGAATTTAAAAAGGAGTACAATATACTTAACTAAACATAGTCCTACAAAACTGTATATACAGTTTGACTGCTGGATTGAAACAAGTCTCAACTGAGCAAAAAGTTACAAAGTGACACTCAATGTTGTTAAAAATTCTTAAACAATATAATTATTTATCGAGTTCTTAGGTTTTCGTGATTGTTACACATAGGAAATGAAACTATTTTTCTGGATTTAAATTGCGCATATTTGTTTTTTCAACGTCTGCCGTGACCATGGGGGCTCAACCGTACATTAACAATCGCACGAGTTGAGAGTTGAAATTAATATGGTGAATAGATTACATAGTTAGCAGTCTAATCCTAAAATATTAGCTTTAGGAAACTCGTAGTTTTGATAATAAAAATTATTGAAATATTCGAAAATAAGTGATAAGAAACAGGTTTTGTAGGTTAGGAAAGCACAGCGTTTGGTTGTTGCAGTATTATTATTGAAATAACGCAAAAAAATAAACATTTTCGTAAAAAAAAATTAACGAAACGCCGCGCGCGCGGCGTTTCGTTCATTTTTTTTTACGAAAATGTTTATTTTTTTGCGTTATTTCAAAAATTTTTCGCAGTATTGAATTAAACAGCACAAATTAATACGTAATTGTAAATTTAACATAGAAATTCACTATAATTCGTATGTAAGCTTTTATTATTGAACAAATATTTTTTGTTGCAAAAAATAACGAAACGCGAAAAGAACGCCATGTTGTTTGTTGTTGTTTGCTGTTTGATGTATGCATCAATTAGGATTTTGCGTTTTTGCCTGGTTTTAAGTTAAATTTAGTTTCTCATATAACACAGGAAGTGGGGAGGGGTTTGGGGGTGGGTTTTTCCCGCTAGGGGTTCGGGGGGAGGGGTTTACCCCGCTCTTTGGTGCGAAAACACGATTTTTTGAGGTTATTTTTTTCGAATTTTCAAACATTAATATCTCGAAAACTATTAACTTCCTAACTTTGAAACTTTACACGAAGGGTCCCCTCCCCTCCCCCCCCTTCCCCCCTCCCACCCCTCAAATCGTGCGATGGTAATGTACAGTCCTTCCAAAAAACTAAATAACTATAATTTCTGTCACATTCTTATTTGTGCGAGTTCATTTAATCTTATCTGTAAGATTTAGTATTTAAGTTAGTCATCATCATAGGACGTGTGAAGAGCCCTAACCATCAGTTTCTTTGAAGAAGAAAAGAAATATGCAATTTTAGAACTGAAAAAATAGTGGAATGGCAACAAAGAAAAATTTATTTATATTACAAACACCTTACCTTTTAATTTTGTCATGCTGGCAACCTCTCCAGGTAGTGTTTTTAGCTGATTGTCACCAATATCAAAATTTTTCAAAGACGGCATGCTCTTGGCCACATGACTCGGAATTGACTCTATCAAGTTCCCTTTCATTTTTAGATCAGTCAAATGTGGTAAATTGGCATTCTCAACATCCACAAAACTAGTTAATTTGTTGTTGGAAACATCGAGTGTGATCAAGTTGGGAAAATCATTAAATTTAGGCATTGTCTCAATCTGATTGGAACTGAAATTTATGCTCGCTAATTCTTTCATTTTATTTAAGCTGTCTGGGATAGATGTGAGTTGGTTGCGTGACAAATCGAGCACCTTTAGTTTCGGCAGTGAGGTTATGTTTTCATTGAACTGTTCTATTTTGTTCCCGAACAAAAGCAGCGACTGCAGGTTTACCAGCCTCTTTATATCATCTGGGATGTTCGTTAGACAAGTTTCGCTGATATTCAACAGATTTAATCCGGTAAGTTGGAATACAGAGCCATCCAAACCCGTTTCTGATATGCGTTTCGATATAGATGCTCCAGACAACTTTATTTCGTGTCTATTCTCCGATTTTGCGGTCGCAACTTCGGGCCACACACTCATTTTGATTTGAAAATTCCAGTAAATTGTACAAAATTACGAAATTTAATGAAAAGATTACAAACCACGACGCTAACGGAGAAACGGAAAAATGTAAATGTCAAATGACAAACACAAGTGTTGCCAGGGCCTTTGAGTCGAAAATTACATTGCGTTTTTAAAATTAAATTACTTGAATTACATTTTTACAAATTAAGATAAATTTTGCAGTAAAAGTTACAATGAATGGTAACGAGTACGCCCAATAATCTTATTTAAGAATACAAAATCGCTGAGTACGCGTAATTTCTAAAAAAATAAGTACAGCGCTACTAAGTTCGGGGTATGTTCGGGGTCAAGAGCATTTCATGTAAAGCTTAATGTTGTGATTTGAGACAGATTACTTTGTAACATATACTGATTTCTATGTATGTACACAAAAAAATAATGTAAGCAGGATCAAGACAAATAACGATTTAACAAATTATTTATTACACATTCCATTATTTGAGTGCGTTCGTAAACTATTAGACATAACAATGTGTTACTTCAAAAACTCAAAAAAAACTCAACGTTCCCAAAATGATGAAAATTACTTTGAAATAAAAAAATAAGAAAATATAAAAAATGTTATCGTCTAGCAACACTGATAACCACAGAGAAACAAGGCAAATGACATTGCCAATCAAATTATTTTTTTGTTAGGCTTGGACTCATCAGACTAACGTTTTACAAATCCTCAAAGAAATAAATCTACACAGATAATTACAATAAACTTAGAATACGTCCATTACGTCTTACGACCTAACTTTTAGGATAAATATTTTATAATTAATTAATGATTCCCTGGCATACTTCTCGCCTGACGTGATTTACCGTCTGTTGACATAAAGTGAACGTGAAAAGGATTTAAAGTAAATCCTGTTGATTAACCTACATAAGTATATCATTATCATTTGATTAAAAGTCAACTAGATCTAAATCTTAAGATTTAGATATGTATAATGGAAATTATACAGGATGTTTCTAAATATTATCTGATAATGACAATCGGTATTACTTTAGTAATTTGCCATTCAGCAAAAGTGTGACTAAAAGTTATATTTTTTCAATGCCTTGGTCACAAAAACTAATTTCCTATCTTTTTAACTTCTATGGATCTTTTTAATGAAATCCTACTACGTCCTATCACTTCACATAGGGTTTCTTTTGCTGTGCGTAACTTCTATGTGAAACTTGGTTTCGATTGAGTTAGTTCTACCATTTTGTGTTAATATTTGAATCTACTGTAAGATTTTTATAGATACTTTATAGTTTTGTACTATAAAGTTTATAGAACTGCCTCCACAGTCGAGAGAAATATGTGTATGGCCTACATTTATTTCTCTCGTGAGTTTGGGTGTAATTTATGGTTGTCTATGTTTCCCTGGTGCGGGACTATGTTGAGTGTGCGCGTTATTATATTATTATTAAAATATAAATTTATTTCATTATATCTATTACAAGTAAAACAGAATGTAAAGAAGTTATGATAATATCAAAATTGAGAGTAAAAAAGAAACCTAAATATTATACAATCTTCTTAAAACTATACAACAGGTACTCTAATAGGGCAGCTACGACGCCTCAACTGAGTGAATGAGTACCTGTATTTCAAGCATCTTATTTATGCATATTTTTATATTCAAACTAAAAAAGAGTTAATGTATTTATTTAACAACAAACATTTTTGTTATGTAATTTATAAATTAATAGTTACAGATATAATTATGTAATAACTTCTAGCAACCCTTCTGTATCATCGTAAGTCTTATTCTTAAGCCAGAATTTGACGGTCTTTTTACATTCTATCTTACACGAATAAGGCGAAATAACGCAAAGTAGACTTTGTAGTTTTTTTGTTATTAAATCTATAATTGAAGCATTGGGAACAACAAGGGCATTATTATAAAATTGTTATTGCATCAAAACATGTAAAACACTATCTAGTATCATGTGACAAAAACTCTTTTCGATCTGACTTCTAGATGGCGTAATTTTCATTCATTTAGAAGATGGCGCTCCGTCCTTGTGGCATAGATTATAAAAAATTTCGGACCTGTTACCACCTGTTGTTTGTAAAAACTTATTTTAATGTAAAAAAATGTCTGAAACAAGCGACTTTATCCTCAAAATGAAGCATCTCGGTGGCCAGTGAGACCTGCTGAAGATGATACTGTCTATTCATTTCAATACAGCGAATTTAACGAACGATTAAAAATATGTTTAAATTTTTTTCACGTCACCTTTGAGACTGATTCACAATTTATTTCCTTAAAAACCAATAATAAAACGAACGCGGAAAACACAAAGAAAAAAAATATTTTCAAATGTTTCTAATTGTTTTAAAATTATAATAACACGTGAATCTTTTAATTATTATTATTTATATGTCCTATTATAAATTATATATATATATATATATATATACATATATTATATATATATATATATATAATATATAATATTAATTTAATATATAATAATATTTTAATATAATTAATTTATATATATTATTATATATATAATATATATTGTATATAATAATATATATAAATAATAAAGTATATAAGAGTCATATTATAAATATTAAAACGATATTATAAGACATTAAAACTTTATTTTCAATTTTCCCGGTTCTCACTTTTACGTGATACGCCCTTGTTACACCCAATACTTCAATTATCAGCGAAAATACAGAAAGCGGTGCTCGCTGGTTCTTGGAAATAGGTCCTTGACCCCGGTCGACTATGCTGCTGTCGGGAAACAGCAGGCATCATTAACATCATTATCACAGCCGAAAAATGTCCACTGTTGAACATAGACCTCCCCCAAAGAACGCCAAAACGATCGGTCTTGTGCCGCTGGCATCCAGTAGATGTATTTTACGGATTATTTAGGCACACATATGTATGTATCTATGCAGACGTATCTATATTTTTCCTCTTATCACTTCTAAATCAGGTAATACATCATATAGACTTACACGTACAAAACCCAAATACCTTTTAATCAAGGGATTAGTAACTAACCAGTCATAGATAATAACATGTTATTATATCATTAATTGAAACATAAATTTAATTGCATATATGTTAGTTTATTTGTAAGTATGTATGTATTATTGTTTGAATTTGAAGAGATTCTTACACCAGCGTCACAATAAGTGGTAGGCAAATACATTTATGAAAATGTAATTTATGTTAAGAGGAATAGTAATTTCTTTATGAGAAATAGTGACAGACATAACATTAGTACTAGGAATAAAAATAAACTAGCTTTTCTTGATAGTCGTCTTTACAAAGTTAAAAAATAATTTAATGGGCAATGTATGCGCTTCTATAACAAGACTCCGGTTGATATACAAAATTTGCCTTTCACGAGGTTTAAAACTATAGTGAAACAAAAACTTTATACTAAAGGTTATTATACAACTTCTGCGTACTTGGATGACTAAAATCCGCGGTAGTAACCCGTTTAGCTCACGGAGGTAGTCTCAATCTCTGATGTTTGAAAACAAAAAAAAATATATTGTTAATTTTAAATTTTTATTGAATTGATATTCAATTATTTTTTTGTGACATTACTCCACTAGAAGATCGAACACTCGGAAAAAATTCCTCCGATCCGGCCGGATTCGAACCGACGTCTTCTAGCTTCTATATATTGTAAATGTTGAATGTGTGCAAGTGTTATTTACAAAGAGCAACCCCTAGAGTTTCTCGCTCATTCTTCTCAGGGGAATCAGCTTACGAATGAGCAGTAGAGTTTGACCATTATGACGATTTCAAGTGTAATAATGCTTACCTATGGAAAAAGATTATTTTGATTTTGAAAGAATGTCCGTTTGCACTAAACTTAAGTACGTTTTAAACCCATACTTGCAAAAGTCACTCTTAATATATTGTGTTAAGAGTGTCTTATCATTTTAAGCATTGGTTTAAGACGTACATACTTAACTTTAGTGTAAGTGGACATAATTGTTACTGACAAAATAGAGGGTAAACGACCTAAACAAAGTGGTTCGTAATGATGGTGTGATCAGGGGGTTTACTCCCGTCTGCTACTGTGTTCCGGTTTTGAAGGGTGCTGGTGAAATTACAGGCACATGTGACTTGTCAACTTATGTCTCAGGATGACAGGCGCAGTGGCAGTTAAAATTATTTTAATTGAGTCATATTTCAAAGTTGTAGACTACGTGTTAGATATAGATGTATGGAAAGACAACGTGAGTCTAGATTCCACACAAATATGATTCAAAATTATTCTATAGCATTTAAGTTTATTTGAAAAGAGCAATCCCTAGAGTTTCTTGCTCGTTCTTCTCAGGGAGGTCAGCGTAGTGAACGAGCAGTAGCTTAAAAAATTACGTTTTCAAGTGTAACAATTTTACCCATGGAATAAATGATTTTTTTACTTTTCTTTAAATGTCCCTCAGACATTTGCGATTTTATCGCTGAATGCCATTGCAACTGTTACTTGGTATCATAAAAAAAATTGTTATTTCTTCCTGTTATATGATACTAAGTATCGTTATTGTTAAATGTACGTACATGCACTGTGTTGTTTTGTTTTTGGAATACGTTATTTCTATTCCAAAGATATGTTAGTATTAAAATTAAAAAAAATCATTTCAGACTTCTGAAGGTGGTCCATACAAAACAAAATTAAAATTTTAAGGAACTAAGTGTTAGTATACAATAAATATCCAGATGAAAAAATAAAAATATAAAATAAGAAACATTAATATGTTCATATTGTGCAATGTCGTCCACCGGGCTAACATTGGGCTGTCCCAACTATGCACACCTCTTCCTCTACACGGCTGCTGTATTATTTCGAATTTCATTTTATAAAATGTATTATGTCCATTTCCCAACAATATTACTTTCTCATTTTGTCAGTTTATTATTAAGGTGGTGCCGATGCGACCTCTTTCATAATCAACTCACCTATCGACACCTCCAATGAACACTAAGCCAACTTAATTTTTCGACTTGTTCTGTTTTTATTCGGTTTTTTTCTTTTTTTTTTAAAAATTCGTTTTTTTTTGTTCTTGTTTCTTTTTTTCACAGAATTCGGGGAGGGATAAGATTATATTTATATTAAACCGCCATATTTATTTACTAAGGCAAATAAATATGGCTGTTTACAAAAATAACAAAAGACGACCAAAAAATAAAGATGGCGTAGTGTTCATTGGAGGTGTCGCTATTATCTCTCGTTCCTGGGTGTCTACTCTCCTTCTTCATCCGACATCCGTCCTAAACAATTATTGTCAAATAAGTAATACTCGACAAAATGAAAAGACGTTACGGTAGCTGAAAATCTAACAGTAAATGGTGAAGTGGAGAAGATTTATCGCCTTGAGAGTGTACTTGCTCGAGGTCACGATCTTCAGCAGTGAGGGACCGACGGAGGAAGAGAGAGGAGACTTCCGAAATTATTATCGAAAAACTGACCTTTCTTTGTATGAGACTAGCAGCTTGATTTTGATTGAAACTGAGTCTATTCCGAGTCGAGGCGCATAATTGAGATTCACAACTGACCGATCGGAAACTTTTGACATTTCAAACAAACAATAGTTGAATTAACTCACAAATTAGAATGATATAGTAGGAATCAGGTTCATCTTCTCGCTCGGCAACCCATCTGATTTCGAGACTCGATCCATTCCGATTTGAATTAAAACCAGCCTGCTGGCGAAGGACAATTGGACGTAATTAAACAAAAATGATTCAATGGACATCCAGTCACTTTCCGAGATATGGCAGTTTGAAGTTTAAAAGTATTTCTCATTCTTGTTTTATTTTCAAAACTTATAATGCCATGTAACTCCAGAGATATTTATTTCAGTTTATATGTTGCATTTTTTTTGCTGATCTAAGAGATTAGATTTTAGGAACCGTTTGGTACATAATTCATTATTTGATAATTTTGTGGATGGAATCCTTTTTGCTTCTACTACTCCTAATACGTCCATTTATTCGAGACTTTTATATTTCTTTTTATATTCTGCTTTGTACGTTCGTGGGAAATCTTGCACGAAACGCGTGATTGCGCGCGCAACTGACGAGTGCAATCGCGCAGTCTTTTCCTATTTACTTTCTTTACACGCGCACTCAATCACGCATGATTGCTGTATCACGCGCGAAAGAGTGTCTGTGTAAGGCCCTCTAATGTTTTAAGTTGTTATGTTGAAGATGAACCCTTCTCAGAACTTTCCAGTACTTATCCATTGTACATGATCAGGAGCACTTCAAACTTGCCACATGAGATTGAAATTCTACTCTATATTGCTTGCCATAAGAGTGGTTCTTGCAACCAGCTTTATTATTTGGTAGACCGAATGTTAATATTAAAGTACTTTATTATCGCAACACATAGATTAATTATATGAAGTAGTAGAGTAAATACGCATGAATTGTATAGTCAATAACGTGCCTAAATACTTGTAGCGTACGATATCATTGGCATTAGTGACGTGCTGGTCTTTCAGAATGGCACTCTGGGGTTTCATTTTCGCAGCCCTTGTGGCTTCTTCGGTAAGTAGTTTTTTATAAGTAAAATAGAAATCATCAAAACTATATAGATTTTTGGCATCACCGGTTCTATGGGAGAATTATACAAACACTTTTATACAAAAAAAGAAGACATTCCTTCAAAATATATTTTACGCCATAAAAATAAATTAATATTGCCCCATTCCCGCTTAAATCTAAACTATACAAGTACATATAAATTTTCTATAAAACTGTATAATAACTTACCTAATGTCTTAATAAATGAAAGCTGTGATATACAATTTACAAAAAAGTTGAAAGAGTTACTCTTACAAAAATGTTATTATAGTATTAATGAATACTTAAATGATATATTACTGACACACGGGAACAAAAGCTAAACAAATAAACACACATTAATATATAAATACAATATATATATATATATATATATATATATATATATATATATATATGTATATTTAAAAGTAAAATGAAATAATATATAGTAAATTAAATAACAATTATTATTACATACACATATATTTTATGTTTTGTTTGCATTTAAATTTCATATTAAAACATGTAAATTTCTATCTACTGGTTTGCTCCTCTCTCCTTTCCATTATATTGCGTGCCCGAAGGGGTCCATAATATTGGTCTTTGTTGTATTTTCTTATATTATGGTTTTGCAATAAAATATTGAGTATTGAGTATTGAATTCAAGTTTTACTTTCATTTCGTTCCAGGTATTAGCCGAAGACTTGGCAACTTTTCCTGAACTCATCCGAGGTAAAGTAGAGTAACTATGTACTGTCGTTGTCGTCGTCGTGTCATTAGGTGTTCCCATGTTTGTAATATATTATAGTTAATTTTATATAAGTAACTTTATGGCAATTGTGTAACGTGCAGACTAGATACGATTAGATTAGATACCGATCTATCTGTGGGAATACCCGCTAAGCGAAAATTCTCCTACTATTTCACTTGTTTTCTTTCTCCCTCTCAAATTCTCAAACTCCACTATAATATTTAATAATACTAAATGAAGGGACGAGTAAGTTGTGCGCCTGGTGGTAAACGACACGCCTGTCCATAAGATTGCACCGTCACTCTGAAACATAAGTAAACAAGTCCCATATGCCTGTAAACCATTCTTACCCTTCAAAATCGGAACGCAAGAATGCATTACATTCAAATTCAAATTCTTTATTTGCCACGTCACAAAGCTCGTAACATTTAGCACGTTGTACTATTACAAAATACTTATCAAAGCCATTTACTGCTAACATTTAATATTACCTATAAGTAATGCACACACTCGACATACTACTAGAACTAAATTCAAAGATTTGCACAATATACACATAAATTTAAATGTTATTTAATAATAATATATTGTTATGAAATAAATCGTAAATAATAAATCATTAATAGATACATTAAATGTTATAAAATAATGAGCATTTTTTTGAATGCATAAGGTCAAAATATTCGTCAACTTTATAGAATGGATTTTCAATTAAAAATTTTTTTATCTTTGTTTTGAATTCTAATTCGGGCAATTTGGATATAGTCGGTGGTAGTTCATTGTACAATTTTATCTTTAGACAGTAACCTTGCTTAGCAGTTCTTTTCAATCTCGTTTTTGGTACTATCAGTTTGTTTTTGTTTCTAGTATTGTAAGGGTGTATGTCTCTGGTTCTTTTCAAGTTATTACTACTACATTACTGCTTGGCAGCATTAATAAGTAACGTGGCAGTACTTCCCTGGACGAAATCTTTTACAAGGCGCTACTAAATCTAGTTTGTAGGTTACATAATAGACGCAAAGATCATAATGCTATAGTTACAAAATTTACACCTCTAAACAATGACGTCACGTTGCAGTGAAAGTAATGTTCTATAAAATTATACATAAGCTACTCGTTAGTCATATTACGTTACGTCGTTGTCCTACAGAGCGTCAAGGTTCAAGAATCGTATCAGGATGGGAGGCGGAGGAGGGCCAGTTCCCCTACCAGTTGTCACTACGTATGGTCACCGCTGTAGGCGGAGTTGGTGGCTGCGGTGCTACCATCATCCATTCTGAATGGGGGCTTACTGCTGCCCACTGTACCGCTGGGTAAGATCTGTACCATTTTATAGCAAGATCCCTGGCAAGTCACATAGTTTTTTCAATAAACCCCGTAGTGAATGCGATTAACGCTTTAGTTGAATTCCAAACAAAAGGCAGTGGGTTAAAACCCAATCAACACGCCCGGGAAAAATAGGCAACTCCACTCACTGACCTTGCAATCCTGTGGACTCTCGCTTACTACTAGGGATGCACATTACGATCCGATTGTTATGAAAATCGATTCAAGTGTGATGCGATTTTCAAGTGAATCGATTCAATAGAATATCTAAGCAAGCAGTAACATTTTGTAGTATTTGAACAAAACTCGATTTACAAATATTTAGTTGAAAATAGTTTTTGCCCTCGATTTCGGGCGTTAATAGGTTAAAACGGCGTTAACGATGCGCCGGATTAACACCTGGACTCTTGCCCATGTCTGCAAACAAATATCAAGCATAGTTGAGAGATAGGTTTGCGTGTAGGGCCAAAGGTACGTGCGAGTTTGGGGTATTTAAAAAAAGGACAGAACTTACAGTCTTCATTTATTTTATTCTATTCGGTACATCATATAGTTTTTAATCGCCTTCAAAAAAAAGGAGCAGGTTGTCAATTCGACTGCATTTTTTTTATGTAGGTATGTTACGCGATAACTCCGGTATTTGTCAACCGATTTTCATGATTCTTTTTTGTTGGAAAGTACTCCATAGTGGTACAGGGTACCTCCATAGTGGTCCTATTTCATTTTGAAGAAAATTATCCACCTCTAAGGGTGGCTGATCACGCATGAACATACATTTTTATAAATAGCGCCTAAATTTTACTTAAGGAGCAATTATTTTAATGGTTGGTTTTGCTATTCTCCAATTCAAGGCGTTTTTCTTTCTCAATATACTTTGAGTAGTGAGAATAGATTTTTATTATCTCCTGGGTAGTGGCGAACTAGGGGATATTTCAATAAAATTTGGCAAATAGATGTAATTCCACGTACTTCTGAGGTCGGTTTTTTTAGTACTCTGTACTGAGATTTCCTCAAGTTTTGAATATGATCTTAGCAAGATGGCTGCATTCAGCAGCAATGCACTGATGTAGTCAGTGTCTGAAGTTTGTTTGTCTCTCTGCGAGTTCGGTCCGCGATCGATGGATTTAAACTCCTGCGTTTTTTTCCCCTTGGATTACATGAAGGATAAAATTTTTAAACATCGCTCCTACACCATAAAAGATCTTAAGGCCCGAATCACTGAGGAAGTGAAAGCTTTGACGCATGAGATGTGCCGAAAAATGGCCGAATACTTTAGAAACTGAATATATTCCTGCTGAAGGCCGCCTATTTTACTGATATGGTATCCAAAACTTGAAAAAAAAACTGTATATTGAACGAATAAATTTTTAAAACCACATTGTTACTCGGGAGTACCTTTTACCCTATCTCGCTCAAAGTTTCAGTTTTGGAGCATAATAGGTATTCCACACTGAAGATAAGTTTGTGTTTTGCCACAAAATTCGTCTCCTATAATTGTGTTTTCCAGAAAATTCTAATATCAAAACCTTCGTCTAATAGGCGACACACGTTCATTATCCGCGCTGGTGCCGTAAACATGACACGCCCTGAGGCTGTGTTCGAGACCAGAGAATTCTACAATCATCCACTCTACAATAATAACTTGCCCAGTGTCGTCCAGCCTCACGACATCGGCCTGCTCAAGTTCGGAAGGTCTCTTACTTTTACCGGTAAATATTTGGAATTAACATACTTTCTGTAACAGAATTTCTAAGTATCAACTACCGAGCTTTATTCAGACACTGCATTCATCCGAAGACAATATTGTCAGTTATATCCAGAAGATCAAGGAGACTCTGTCGCTGCTGGGAAAATTCTTGTTTCAATGCGAATTTGGTAACTACGTACATCTAATACAACATTATAGAATAGCCGCTACATGAAAATGTTCTCTCTTTTTCTTTTTATGTCATTTCCATTATTATTTTACAGATAGAATCCAGCCGGTCCGTATTCAGGCGTCTAGGGACAAGGACCGCAACTACGACGAAGTCAGACTGGTGGCCACTGGATGGGGAGCCTTATGGACTGGACGTAATCTTTCTTGCTTTAAACTCTTTCATCATTACCAGCACTCTAAACATTTGAATTCAATCAACCGGCTACGTTTACAGTTAACGAAAATAAGATGCTTGAAATTCCTGTAATTCCTTACAAAAAAAAACATAACAATCTTTTTTTTTCTACTTTTGCTGCTTTTATGTTATTTTTAACCGACTTCAAAAAAGGAGGAGGTTCTCAATTCGACTGTATGTTCTTTTTTTTTTTTTTCTGTATGTATGTTACGCGATAACTCCGGTATTTGTGAACCGATTTTCATGATTCTTTTTTTGTTGGAAAGGGGGTATTTTCATAGTGGTCCCATTTCATGTTGAAGAAAATCATCCACCTCAAAGGGTGGCTGTTCACGCATGAAGATTCATTTTTATAAATAGCGCCTAACTTTAATTTAGGAGCAATTACTTTTAGCAATTATTTAGTTGATTTTGCTATTTCTCAATTCAAGGCGTTTTTCTCTCGATATACTTTGAGTAGTGTCGTAGTGAGAACCTATTTTTATTATCTCCAGTATCAAGTCCTGTATAGTGGCGAACTAGGGGATATTTCAATGAAACTTAGCAAATAGACGTAATTCCACGTACTTTTGAGGTCGGTTTTTATTCTGATATCTGTTTAACAGAGGCTGGCCCTGAGAACATGAACTGGGTATACCTAAGAGGAACGTCAAATGCGTTCTGCAGACAGTCTTACGGACAGAGCTCCATCATTGTGAATTCTACCCTCTGCGCTCGATACTACAATGTCACCAGCCAGTCTACCTGCTCGGTTTGTGTGCAATTTTCAATCATTTGACATTTACGAAGCAAATAACAACGAGCACATGATTATACCATATCTAGTATCAATAAAAAACCGCACATCTTTATTATATCATTATAACAAAGATGTGAACCAGCACCCTTAGGCGATTCGTGCCAGATGCTCTGCCAATTAAGCCACGGAACCAACCAGTGGGCCTTACGAATTTTTCTGTGTGTTTGTTGCAGACCTTTGAATTATACCGTTAATGGTATAAGTGGTACTAACCTGTCCGGTTTATACCTGTATTGGTATAGGTGGCACTAGTTTATCCCATTTATGACATTGGATTATAAGTAATTATGGTATAACTGGGATTAAGTAGTGCCATCTATACCATTACAGATGTAAATGAGACAGGTTAATACCACTAATACCATTAATGATATAAATTCAATGGTATGACTGGTCCGAAGGCCTTCATTGTATCAGTTTAAAAATTTTGTTTTGATGTTTTTTGTTTTGATGGGTTCCTCAGGGTGACAGTGGTGGTGGTCTGACCGTAGTGGATGACGACGGAAAAATTTCCCAAGTTGGTGTCGCATCATTTGTGAGTGGTCTAGGATGCCACGTAGTTATTCCTGCTGGTAAGACGCCTCTCAAAAATTCGTTACATAAAACTGATGCTCTAGTTCTCCATTTTATCTTCTAAAACTTCATCCTGGACTCCACAAAGTATTTCATAGATACCACATCTAAAAAATTTTTGTTTTAAAGTCACATTAGTGCTATGTACTATTATGTTAAATTTAATTTGTTCGCACAGGCTTTGTTATCCCCGGGCACTACCACGATTGGTACACGGAAGTAACAGGCATCGACTTCGATTGGGAACTAGAAGATGGAAGTGGTTCCGATGAGGTTGAGATTGGCTCAGACGAGAATAGAAACAACTTAATAGAGGTTGAGGACACTGAAGACGAAGAAAATTATTTTAAACTATTTCTTCATCGCTTCTGGTAAATTTCTTTAATGAACATTAGAAATTAAAAAGAGAATGTCAATATAGAGTATTATTTATTTCATGGACTGTTTTGGATAAAGTTTTGGGTAACATTTATTATCTTTTAATTCTGGGATTACAATTAATATCAACTTCATGTTCCAAACAAAATACTATCAATAGTGATAATGT